AATTGATAATAACTATCTACAGAGTAAGGTAACTGAATCAGGCAGCAGTGTATGCAGCGCAACGGGACCCTCTTGTTGTTTCTAGCCCTTCCGGGATGGGGGGGTTATTGCTGTTACTACTTCCGACATTACACGAAAAATTATTTATAGAGTCCCTATCTGAAACTAATAAGCCATCGGATCATGGCTGAAATATTCAGGCTAACTGCCTACAAAAAAAATCAGAGAAAATCTCCAACTTACAGGACGACCATAATGATGAAAAGGGAATATGTCTAGCACCAGGATCTGTTCGTGGCGTCTTAGCTGTTGTTTGACACACACGGAGTCGCTACCCACCCACGTTAACTGTTAGCAAAGACCCCATCTTGTAGCTGATCAAAATTTCAAAGAAGAAGAAGAATCGATCGGTTGTGCTTTGTATCGCTCCGCTGTTGTTTTTACCTATTAAAACAAAACAATTAATATAAATTACTTGGTTTCATTTATTAACACCTTAAGTACCTGCGTATTCCTTATAATTTGGAAAACTGCAATTAAATCAATCTGTAAAAGTGAATCAAGTTATTAATTACAAATTGAGAAAGTTCGCTTTGACACACATATTCTCGTACATATACACTTATTAACTCACCACAAAACAAATACACCGAATCCGATACACTAACACAGCAAAATCGCTACACTCAACAACACAACAAAAGAAACTGCCGAAGATGTCTACGTCCACTGCATCCAAACGCCTACGCAGCAACGCTGGAACCGCAAATGACCGCCTTTCCGATGCCCCTCGTCCCAGATTCTGGATCTGCTTAAGGTGCGCTTCCAGGAGCAGACGGATGAGATTACGGCCTTCGTAAGGGAAACGGAGAAACGCATACTTAGTATTCTCTCGGACAGACTGGATTCCATTGCGGGTGAGGTGAAGCAAACTGGAGAGCGGGTATCTCGCCTGGAGCGGGAAGTGGTTGATCTGCGCTCGCAGCGGGAACAGCTGAGTGTTCTTGTTGACCGTCTCAGCCAGGAGGTAGCAGACATGCGGGTGGTCAAAGAGAGAGTGGGAGGTGTGGAGGCTAAATTGGCTGCTCACAACGCGGCTAACAATGCGCTTGACCTTCGCATACATGGAATCCCATATGTTGAGGGGGGAAACCTAAAAACACTTTTCAATACTCTGTGTTTTTCACTGAACACAACTCCGCCACCGCGGGTTCGGGACATTTTCCGGGCCCGTAAAACACAAAGAACAAATGTCGACCCGGTCATTATTGTTAAGTTGGATAACTTGCGAGAAAAGATTGGGCTACTGAAAATAATTGCAGCGTGCCGGCGAGAAAATAAAGTGCAACTGAGCTTAAAGCACGTGGGTATCGACTCTGATGCTCCGATCTATGTTAATGAGCAGCTTTTAAGAGAAAATTACATCATCCTCAAAGAAGCAATGCGATTGAAAAAACACAAGTTTTTGACTGCAGTTTTTACCCGACGTGGCCTTGTTCATGTTCGCTGTAATGGGAGCGAGAATGTGCGATGCATAGAGCGCATCGAAGAGCTAAACGTGATAACGAACCTCCTCTCTCCTCCTCCCGCTCTTCACTACTCCCCACACTAGCCTTGAAAGATGGACCTGCACAATCGGAGAGCTTTCGCTCTTAATTTTATACGTACTCTTAATGTTCATTTAATTGTTAGGTTATTTATTAAATTGTATCAGTATATAAGTAATTGTTTAATGTTTAATGTCTTTTGTTACACTGAGTTTGCGCCTCATAAATGGTATGTCCCAAATTATGTGGGATAATGTAGGGGGTTCCATGACAGGTAGCATTTTAAGAGTCTTAACTAATTATAAACACGGCTTAAAAGTGGTTCATATTAATGCACAGAGTCTCTTAAGAAAAAATGATGAGTTTAGGTATCTGTTCGTGAAGTCTAACGTAGATGTAATATGTGTATCTGTAACGTGGTTTATGTCTGAGCAGTCTGATTTATTGGTTAATTGTGATGGTTATAATGTTTTTCGTTCTGACCGAATTGGGAACGCTGGTGGAGTGGCTATATATGTCAGCAGCAGTCTAAACTGTGAGGTCAAGTGTAAACAGCCAAACGATAGTCCCATCGAATATTTATTTTTGGAGGTAAATAGTATTTCAAAGGAAACAAAATCCCTCATCGGCTGCATTTACCGACCTAACCGAACGATTGAATACGCACCTTTGATAGAGACTATTCGTGAGATATCTACTGCCTACACTGACATTACTTTAATAGTAACGTCCTTAATGAGAACCACCTAATAGATAGCTTCGAGGCTCTGGGCCTTTATGCTGTCAATAAATCAATGCCTACTCACTTCACTGACTCCACTGATACCCTTCTTGACTTGTTCTTCGTAAATGACTCTAGTTTAATTCTACTATATGACCAGGTCGCAGCACCAGTTTTCTCGAAACATGACCTTATATTCTTGACTTATGACGTATCTTTGACCCATAATGTTAACTCGTTCAGCTTTAGGGATTATAAAGGCATTAATGCTTTGGTTATTCAGAGCGAATATAGTATGTGTAACTGGTCTCCTATTTATCAATGTACAAGTGTTGAGTCCCAATTAAATGTCTTAAATATTAACATATTAAATATGTATAACAAATGTGTACCTGTCAAAATAAAAGTTATTAAACCAAGGCAAAACCTGTGGTTTAATAATGAAATAAAGGAACTTATACATCAACGAGATATCGCGTACAGGAAATGGAAGCGATATAAGACTGACCATTTTTGCACTGTGTCTAAAAAATTAAGGTGCAGAGTTACAAAACTTATAAAGGTTGCCAAGGGTGAAATATTCAAACTAAAATTTGAGAATGCCACCACGTCAAAAAAGACCTGGAATGAACTCAATAAATTGGAAATCGGAAAGTGCAGGCAAACAAACAATAACTATATTGATGTAGAGAATCTCTGTCAATCGTTTACGCAAATCGATGTACCTGAAGCAACTCATAACCAGTACCTGAACAATATATCTAGCTGTGATAATAGTTTTAGCTTTATGTGCGTCGACCAATGTGATGTTTTAAATGGAATCCTTAAAGTTAAGTCGAATGCTGAAGGTTTAGATAACGTCAGTCCCAAATTCTTAAAACTTACTACTCCGCTACTTCTTCCACATATAACATACATCTTCAATACTGCAATTACTACTTCGACTATGCCCACAACTTGGAAAAAGGCAAAGATTATTCCAGTTCAAAAACCAAATAAGGAATACAGACCCATTTCAATCCTTCCCTTTCTTGCTAAGGTGATTGAAAATTTAATGGCGCAGCAGATGTTGAGGTATCTCGAAGATAACTCCCTGCTGGCGCAAAAACAATCTGGGTTCAGGAAGAAAAGAAGCTGTATTAGTGCAATAACGGACATTGTCGAAGATATTCGGAAGCAACTAGACAATAATTGTGTGACGTTTTTAACTCTATTGGACCATAGCAAAGCATTTGACTCGGTAAACCACTCTATTCTCTGCTCTAAGTTAAAAAATCTCTTTAACTTCTCTGATACTGCAGCTCGATTTATTGAGTCATACCTAAGTGGAAGGTCACAGGCAGTTGTCTCTGGCACTCGCATGTCTAGCTGTAGATTGCTAACACGGGGAGTACCTCAGGGATCAGTACTTGGTCCTTTGTTATTCTCTTTGTATGTTAATGATTTACCTAGTGTTCTGTCTGACTGTGAAGTACATATGTATGCGGATGATGTTCAAATTTATGTTAGTAGTCCTGTTAATCAGTTAAATATTTGTATTAGTAAGAGCAATAATATGCTCAAGAAATTAAATGACTGGGCAACATGCAATGGATTAAGCATTAATCCGAAGAAATCCAAATGTTTAGTAATTTCCAAGAGACGACTTGATACTGGAAACCTTCAAAATCTGGTTATAAATAACAGCCCTATAAATTACACCACAAATGCTAATAACTTAGGGATGACTTTTAATAATACACTCTCTTGGAGCAAACATATCACTAAAGCCTCTGGTCGAACATATGGATTGTTGAGGCAACTTGCATGTACTAAGACACTCCTTCCGCAACACATAAAGACCTTAGTTGCAAAAACAATCCTTATTCCAACACTAATCTATGGTATAGAGGTGTTTGGACACTGTGACTCACGAGATTTCCATAATTTATCAGTAGCCCTTAATTCAATAACTAGATACGTGTTTAATCTTAGACGTCTTGACCATGTATCCAACTTGACAACTAAACTTCTTGACCTTGACTTGACTGCAAGGATTAGCTATAGAACTCTTACTTACTTTCATAGAATTATAACTTCGAAAGAACCAAAGTATTTGTATGATAAATGTGTGTTTGCAAATTCACTTAGAACGAATAACTTGATATGTCCCAGATACAAAACTTTATGCTCAAACCGTCAATTTTTTTTAAACGCTATCCGTCAATGGAACAACCTACCACACTATCTTAAAACCATAAGGAGCGCAACTCAGTTTAACAAACTAATTAAAGAATATTTAAAACAATAAGCAAAAGACTATATTTATAATATTTATAGTTTTAATATAGATTAAAAAAAAAGAAAATAAAAATATAAATAAAAATAAAAATAAAAATAAAAATAAAAATAAATATTGTTGAAACAAGAGCTTTATTCTTGAGTGTAAAATAATTAGTCGGAGGTGCTAGTTTAATTGTATAATTTTATTAATAATTTTTAATTCAGTTCTCTTCAACTTCAACTTTTTTCCAACAATGGCGTACAACTTCAAGTTCTTTTTCACACTATTTCTTATTCTCTCTCTGCCACTCATTCGATCATACGAGTTGGCAGCATCCGTATAACAGATGTAATGTTAACTAACAGTTGGAAGGCGCGGAATTTGACTATAATCAAATGTACTTATTGGGTTTTGACCCAACATACCAGCCCCCTTGAAAGTATGCGATTGACTTTCAAGAGACAGGTAATTAGGCGAGTTTCCGTATGGGACGGCGGATGATTCCCTTGGCGGTGCGTACGTTGGCTACACGCACGATGTTGTCCGATCCGATGGTGCTGACTACGCGGCCAAGAAGCCACCGTTGTGGGGGAAGATTATCCTCGTGAACAATGACCATGTCGTTGACCGCTAGATTTGGTGCAGTCTTCGTCCAGGTTGTGCGAACTTGGAGCTCGTTTATGTATTCGTGGCTCCAACGACTCCAGATGTGGTGCTTAATTGCGCTGACCTTCTTCCATCGGTCCAACTTGTCCAGATTGTCGTCGATTGGTGGAGCTTCTGGAAGAGCTCGGAGTGCGTCACCCACTAAGAAGTGACCAGGCGTGAGAGCGGCCAGGTCGTTTGGGTCGGTTGATAGCGGCGTTAATGGGCGAGAGTTCAAAATCGCCTCGACATCAGCAGCTGCTGTGGCTAGCTCCTCGAAGGTTAGTCTGGTGTCTCGAAGAGTGCGATTGAGTAGTCCTTTGACGCTTTTGACGGCAGCCTCCCATATGCCCCCGAAATGTGGAGCCCTGGGCGGAATGAAATGAAAGTTAATGAATTCATTGCGACAAAAATGATGGATCGATTCAGCCGTTTCTTTCTTGAAGAGAAACTGCTTCAAAGCTTCTAGTTTGTTGTTGGCTCCTGCGAAGTTAGTAGCGTTGTCACAAAAAATGTCCGAAGGCAGCCCGCGTCTGGCAATGAAGCGCTTGAGTGATGCAATGAAGCTATCCGTCGTGAGATCTGAGACCACTTCGACATGTATGGCTTTTGTGGCAAAGCAAACGAAGACGGCGAGGTATGCCTTGGTGGGCGGCTTACCCCGGATGCGCAAATAGACGTTGATTGGTCCGCAAAAGTCTATTCCGCATCTTGAGAATGGCCGAGACGGTGTGATGCGCTCCTTGGGCAGTTGACCCATAAGCTGCTTTTCTAGAGTTGGTCGGTAGCGGCGACAATGTATGCATGAGCGAACGACTTGTCGCGCTAAGTCCCTTGCGTTGACTATCCAAAACTGTCGTCGAATTAAGCCGACAAGAGTCCTTGGTCCCGCGTGATAGTTTTGGAGATGGAGACGGCGAACGAACTGAGAGACAAAGGGGTCCTTGGTTGGGAGCAGGACAGGATGCCTTTGGGTCTCTGGGTAGTCTGCTAACTCCAGGCGTCCTCCGACCTTTAGAAGTTGGAAACCATCTGTGACCTGAAGAAAGAGACTAAGGTTTTTAAGGTTAGTGCAAATCGGCTGGCCCTTCAGGACCGATGATATCTCTTGAGCGAAGTAATTGGTTTGGATATTCCAGACGATGCAATGCAGCGCCCGCTGCAATTCCGTTGGCGTTGGCGATGGCGATGGAGACTGGGATGGCGTGAGATTACGACAGCGATGAATAAACCTAAACATCCAGGCGACGACTAATAGGCAGCGCTGATATGAACTGGATTTGTAGACTCCTTCAAGCAGCTGATTACTGGTAGTCTGTACGGCAAACGCTGATTTTCTTTTCTCCAGTTGCACAGCTTCCAGATCAATGTCATTGATGTCTTTATTGTCCCTAGGCCAATATTGCGGTTCTTGACGTAGAAACTCAGGTCCCTCAAACCATATCGATTGTTCCAACTCGGCGATGGTGCAGCCTCTGGACAGGATGTCTGCCGGGTTGCAGTGTGTTGGAACATGTCTCCAGTGACAATCTGATGTCATTTCTTGAATTTCAGCAATTCGATTGCCGACAAAGGTCGATAATGTGGCTGAGTGCTGGCGATTCCAATGCAGAACGATTTGAGAGTCGCACCATAAGTACGAGGTTGGCTCTCTGTCAGCGAAGATTCGAATGATTTTCTGATGGAGTTGTGCTAGCAGATGTGCTCCGCACAGTTCTAATTTGGGTAGAGATAGCTTCTTGGTGGGAGCAACTCTGGACTTGGATGTGATTAGCTGTACCTTGATTAGCCCATCTGATCCGAGTGTGCGAGCGTAGATGCAGCATCCGTACGCTCTAATGGAAGCCATGTATCTGAAGAGTTTGTATAGCCGGTTGGAGGCAATATCTTGGTATTGCTATAGACTCCAACGACGTAAGCGACGAAAGAAGGGACATCCAAGCTGTATGGATTCCTTGGGGTACTGACTCATCCCAGTGTAGCTTTAGTAGCCACAGCTCCTGCAGGATGATTTTTGCCACGATGATGATGGGAGTAACTAATCCCAACGGATCGAATAGTGACGATGCAACTGACAAGATAGTGCGTTTGGTAACGTGGTCTGACTCTACTCTTGGCGAAAACGAAAACATGAAGGTGTCCCGTACTTGGTCCCATTTTAGGCCAAGCGTGCTAGTTAGCATCTTGTCGTCCAGCTGCAAGTGTTTTATTGTATTGTCATCGACGAACTTACAGTGGTTTGAATGCCATTTTGCGAGTTCCAATTGGCCATCCTGTAGAATCGTTGTAACTTCCCTCTTGATTTGATGTAGCTCCTCTACCGTGTCCGATCCACCCAGGAAGTCATCCACATAGAACGACGATTTGATGGCTTCAGCCCCAATTCTCAATTTGTCCATGAAGTGGTCGGCTAGATAGGACATGCTGCGTATGGCCAGATACGGTGCAGCCGCCGTACCATACGTTACGGTATTCAATTCGAAGGTGCTTAAGGGTTGCGATGGCGAAGCTCTCCAAAGGATGTATTGAAATCTGCGATCTTGGGCAGACACGTTGACTTGACGGAACATCTTTACTACATCCGCAGTGATTGCATAGCGGTGTATACGAAAACGAAGAAGCAATGTATAAAGGTCTGGCTGAATGGTCGGCCCGACCATTAAAAGATCGGTGAGCGATTTCTGGGACGTTGTCTTGCAAGATGCGTCGAAAACCACTCTGAGCTTCGTTGATGTGCTATTTGGCTTGAGCACGCAGTGGTGCGGAATATAATAATGCGGAGTGTTTAACTGCAGGTGACCCACGAGACTCATGTGTCCCAGGTCTTGGAACTCCTGCATGAATTGTACATATTTGGCCCATACCTCAGGCCGTTTGCCTAGGTTGCGTTCGAGCGATAAAAATCTCCTCCTCGCGATGTCGAAAGAGGCTCCGAGAGCGGTAGGTGCCTCCTTAAATGGGAGTCGTACTTCCACTCGACCATCAGAGTTGCGTCGTACCGTGGTTGTGTAGAACTCCTCACAATTTCGCTGCTCCGGCGTAAGTGTATTCTCGGGAGTCACTACATGATCGATGCGCCATAGACGTTCCAGATTTTCGTCAATTTTATCTAGTACGATAGATGAGTACTGATGGAGGGTTCTGGGATGAGCTCTGCATCGACCAGACACTATCCATCCAAGTAGCGTTTTCTGGAGTACGGGCAGATCCTTTCCTAATTTAACTTGGCCGACTGCCAAGATATCGAAGAAGGTTTCCGTGCCTAAAAGCAAATCGATGCGACGAGACTTGTTGAAGTGTTCGTCGGCTAGCGACGAGTGCTGCGGAAGATTCCATGAGGAAATGTCAATTTCCGAATCTGGGTGATAGGCGATGTGTGATGTCACGCAAAAATCAAGGAGTAGCTCGAAATGCTTGTGCCTCGACTTGATATTGGTGGTTGTATGGTGTTTGATTTGCGTTTGTGTCTCTCCAATGCTACGAATCTCTAGGTTGCGTTTGCTCCGCGGCAGTCGGAGACTTTGGGCGAACTCCTCGTTTATGAAATTCACCTGAGAGCATGAATCCAAAAGCGCTCTTCCTATTTTGTAGCATCCGGACGCATCCTTGACCAGGACCAGCGCTGTGGCCAGGATGACGCAATCGGAACGCGGTTCCGTGTGAGTATGTGTGACTGCGTCCGAAACTTGTGCAGACTCCGCTTGAGGTTGTGGCAAGGGAGTTGCGGTCGACCCAGGTGAGGGCCGATGAAGCAGAGTATGATGCGCTAACGCACAGGTGCGGCATCTCTGTGTAGACGGGCAGTTAGCGACAAGATGATTCTTGCCGAGACAATTAATGCATAGCTTGTAGCGTTTTACTGCATTGAGACGATTTTCTAGGGCGAGATTAATTAGTTCTGGGTATCTAAAGGTCTTGTGATCTGTATTTGAACAGATGTTACAAGTTTGCGTTGTACAATTGAAGGACAGACTTGCCTGGTTCCTCTGCGAGCGCGATCTATGGCCGCCTGGTTGGACCATAGAGGCTTCAGCAGTAGGCTTCTTATCCGATTCCAAATATTGGCAATGACGTTCGACGACTTGAACACAGTTATCCCAAGAAGGCAAGACGGTATAATCCAATGACTCATTCCATTTCCTCTTGGTCTCCTGGTCCACCTTTCCCATGACTATGGAGATGAGCATGGCCTGACAGATCTGTGTCTCGTTGCCCAACGAACGCAACGAGTTGTACAATGCGGACGCATTGTCGATTAGACTGCGCAACTGCTGACCATTTGCTTTGGCAGCGGTTGGCAAAGCGAAGAGCGACGATATGTTGTCCAAGAAGACGAGAGTTGGGTTGTCGTAGCGCTGCTTTAAGCGATCCAGAGCCTTCGTGTAGTTGTCTGCGGTCACCTGGAATGCTCGTACCGTTTCTAGGGCGGGTCCTCGAAGACAGTTTAACAACTGGTTGAACTTCTCGATCTTAGACATTGATGGCTGGTGGCCTACGACCTGATTGAACGACGTGATGAAGTTTTGGTACTCGCAGTACTTGCCGTCGAATGTAGGCAACGCTAAGCGAGGAAGCTTGACCGCAGTCGTATGCCCAAAATTAACCGTAGATTCGTTTATGCCTGTGCTGTTTGCTTCTGGTCCAAGCTGTTCTTGAACGCAAACCTTGGCTTGGATGAATAACTCCTCTAACTCGAAACGAGTGCTGCGGTGTAGCTCAGCTGGATCCAACTGCTCTATGGCCTCCTGTGTGGATAAAGCGAGTTTAAAATACGATTCCAGAATCGACAAACGGCAAGCGAGTTCCAACGGAGATAGATTCAAGTCAGGTTCCACTGATTTGCTCATACGCGTAAGGTTCTTTCGAGCACTCGTTCGCTGAGATTTAAGTTGCTCCAGCGAAGACATTTTGGTTGTTTACTTTATTAAATTTCGGGTTGGCAATGCCTTACTTGACAAGGTATGTGAGAGCGAGGGAGACGACGAGATGTAGTGGAAAGTTTTGCTCGCCGAGCAGCGGTGCAAAACGATGGCCAAAGAGGACAGTGCAAAGAATGTGCTGGGGACGATTGAGGTTATGTATTGGGGGTGCTCCGCTGGGGAGATGTATAGATGAAGGACCGAGACGTCGACTTCAACTATGACTGTGAGGCTTGGAGGATGGCGTGTCCACTCCAACGATGTCCAGACTATACGTTGATCCACAACGACCGTGAACAGTGGCAGGGACTGCTGCAGCGGGAGTTATGTGGCCGGCAGAGGCTCCGGTGGATGCACAAAGGCTGCACCAAGTGGGTGTGCAGACGTGCGAGCGACAAGGTGAGGCGGACGCTGGGTAAACCGGCAGCGAACGCGATGCGCGAATGTACGAAACTTTGGCAGGGCAAATTCGTAATAGCGCGTGCGAAACTTGGTCAAGTAGAAGATGGCGGAAAACTCAACCACAAATCACCACAAAATTAGACAAAATAAACTAGCACTAGTCCTGTCACGGTCGCCAAAATGTTGAAACAAGAGCTTTATTCTTGAGTGTAAAATAATTAGTCGGAGGTGCTAGTTTAATTGTATAATTTTATTAATAATTTTTAATTCAGTTCTCTTCAACTTCAACTTTTTTCCAACAATGGCGTACAACTTCAAGTTCTTTTTCACACTATTTCTTATTCTCTCTCTGCCACTCATTCGATCATACGAGTTGGCAGCATCCGTATAACAGATGTAATGTTAACTAACAGTTGGAAGGCGCGGAATTTGACTATAATCAAATGTACTTATTGGGTTTTGACCCAACAAATATAAAATAAAAATAAATAAAAAATAAATAAAAATAAAAAATAAAAATAATATAAAATAAAATTAACATAGTTAAATAAATAAATAATAAAAATAATTAATTAAAATATATATATAGCTAGTAAAATTAGTAAATGAATAATAAATAAATAACTAATAACTTTAGATAATAAGAATACAAATTGTTAGACTAAATAATATTTTTTTCTTGACTAGCGCAATAAATATAAGCTAATCACTTGTCGCACTAGGATAAAAACAAAATAAATGAAAATGAAAATGAAAACATTTAAATCCCCAGGTCACGAGAGGACTGCATCTACTCCATCATGATATTAAGGATCTGATATGAAATACAGCATTATTTATTTAATTAATTTCAACAGAAAAGTAACTTAAAGAAATTCAGGTTAATGACATAATAAATCTCGAATGTTCGTTTTAATTAATTTGCTTCTTTTCATTCTTAATTTAGAGAATTCAGTTGCGATTCATTTATGCTTTCATTGCGACTACAAATGTTTTTAAACGATGACTTAATGATTAGTTTCTAATTTACTTGTCTTTTATTTACATATTTTCTGATAAAGTTAGCGAAAAGCAGAATAAAACTACGCGTTCCTATTCATAGTTCAAATTTTTAATCTTCATAATTACGTTGGTGCTGGTAGCAATAGAGATCCACGATGCATACACTACCCAAGAATATAGCAACAAAAGCTTAAGGAGAATTAAGATTCGGTAATGATCATTACCCACTCAGTACTAGTGCTGCTGGATGAGCATTTATACGCAATTGGAAGTGTCCCTAAATTTGCAGTCCAAAACAAACAAACAGAAAAGAATAACCGACAGAGCTTATGGCTCTTCACGGTAGCAGCGGCCGTTTTGTATGATCATATTATGTCACATTAAATTGGTGTTTATATATATATATATACAGTTTGGATCGCTTACCCCATGCGATCCTCGTTGAAGGCCTTCACGATGACTTGGATGACCAGCTGTTAGCGTTTGTTTAAAGGATTGTTAATTTAATGCAACATAAATGATGAGTTTGATCGATCCTGCCTATCGCGTTATTTATGTCTGGTTGTGCGGATTTGTAGGGCACATGAACCTAGGTCAAGTTTACGCAATCGCGTTCGCTTAGCTAGCGCATGCACTCTAGATACACACTACCGTTTTCCGAGGCTCAAACAAGCCAAATGCGACCGAAATTTGATTAAGAACGCTAAGCTTTTACAGTTGCATAAAACCTAACTAAATCTGCGCTCCGGATCTAATGCCGGTTTTTATTTCTGGAGGAATTTACTCCGATTCTACGCCTTCGTCACGCGCTGGCCGAAAATTGCGGTCCCTGGCCACAGCGTTTGTCGTCTCCCTTCCTCTGCCGCAGCTGGCGAAGCGCGGAAAGGAAAATAAGTAATCCGACGCCGATGATGATGACGCGGGCAGGGTCGCAAAGGTTTTCGCTTCACCTCTGGCAATATTCCGCTGGCCCTTATAGGAAGGTTCGACTATAAAAACAACCGTGGTTACGGAGAGAGCTTTCAGTCATATAAGAAAACTATTTACCGACTGAGGATGATGCAGAGTACACTGCGGTACGCTTGAGCTCCAGAAAGTTCCTTAGCCTGTATGTAGGCTTGCAAGCCGAGAAAGCACGCGGTATTTCGCTGTCTCTATATAAAAACCAATATTAATGCAAGTGCAAATGGCTTGAAGTTTCAAAATAATTACCCAAAACCGGTGCGCGACACTGGCGGATGGTTAACTGGTCGGATGCAACGGCCGATGCCTTGTATTTAATTGGCAAATGGACACGTGGCACTTGTGTATTAATTTCGCTCACAGATCGACACTTCTGTAGCGTTCGGCGTTGCAGCGAAAAAAGGAAGAAGGCGGATGTTTTGATCGTGTCGGAAATGATGCTTAATCGATAAATTCGTGCTGTCATCTGTCAATTTCGCACAGCTGATTGTGATCGACTAGGGCTGGAGAATAAGATATGACTATCGTAAGGCGCGTATGTCAAATCTTTTGAATTTTACAACGTTAACCTTTTTGTCCAATGCTGCCCATTACAACCACAGATAATCTGGCAAGTAATCGCAGACACGATTAGCTGGAATCAGCTTCGTATATCCTTTGCGTGGTAGGTTCCTATCTCCTTTCCTGCTAACGTTTCCAATAGATAAAACGAACGACCTAATTTCTTCTTAATTCGACACTTAGAAAATTGGTGTCCTAACTTCTTATTGTAATTCTGACTAAAATTACTTAAATGAAAGTTTCGCTTAAAGACTTCTTGACCTTCTTTAAATACAATATGATTAGCTCTTAAATTGTATTGTTTCACGTTAGTTTCATATGCTTTACGACTATTCTTTTTGATTTCTTCGCGAATGATAGCAAATTGGTCTACTCTATCCAATCGAATTGATTCTTCTAGTAACGATAATTGTTTCAATAGCTTATAATCAGGTCCATGATTAATCATATTAAAACCAAAGAGAGCTTTATAAGGAGAACATCCTAAAGACTGATGTAAAGCAGATCGAAGAGCAGACGAGATACTTGTCAAATTTACATCCCATTCTGTTTTGATCTTCTTGAAGATATGATCGTATAGCTGCCAATAAAGAACGATTGACTCTTTCGGCCGCATCACTTTGCGGTGAATAAAGAGCTGAACAAATATGACGAATACCCCATTTGGTTGCCATGGCCTCGAATTCTTTTGCCTTAAGCTGGGATCCATTGTCACTAATTATTGTCTCTGGTACTCCAAACTCACAAAAAATTCGCTCGCACAAGAAGTTATTTAAGGCGGCAGTAGTGAACTTTTTAAGTGGACAGAGCCAATGATATCGGCTAAAATGGTCTAGTACGATCAGCAATCCAGTATAACCTCTTTTACTACGAGGATAAGGTCCGAGTATATCAACATACAATCGTTGGAATGGTCTGATTGATACACTCTGCTCAACCATGGGTGGTCGTAATATTTTATTGGGTGCTTTTGTCTGCTTACACATTGCACACTCATTTACATAATTTCGAACCTCTTTTGATAATCCTGGCCAAAAAAGATTACGTCGTAGTCTCTCAATAGTTTTGTGTATCCCTCCATGGGCTGACACGACACTATCATGAGCCTGCCAAATTGCAGCACTGCGCAGCATTTCACGAACCCAGAGCTTCCAACTATCCGCTTCCTACTCAGTATTTCCCGAGGGATGGTCCGTCCGTATGTAAACGAATTTCCCATGAACTCGTAAATCCGGAAACTTATCAACATTCTCTTCTACTCGCTTTCGAAGTTCTTCATAACTTTGTTCCGTAAAAGCATCAGAATCTAAATCGATTTCGGGTCCAACAAACTCTAAACTCTCAATGTGTTCCTCACAAATCCTTGATAAGGCATCGGGTACGATATGATCCTTACCTTTTCTATGAGATATTGTGAATTTAAATCCTTGTAACCGAAAGTAACTGGCAAGACGACCTGATACATTTTGTTGTCTCATCAGCCATAGTAGACTGGAATGATCAGTTACCACCTCAAATTCTTGCAACTCTAAATAGCAACGGAATTTTTCTATTGACATTATTACAGCCAAGCATTCACGCTCTGTGACACTATAATTACGCTTTGACTTGGAAAGTTTCTTTGACATGAAAGCTATAGGCCTTTCTTATCCCAAATAATTAACTTTGGTCACACAGAAATGACTCTTGGTGACATTCAGTGTTAAGTTTGCCTTACGGAATTGCTCTGCAATTCGAATCAGGACAGACAAATGAGATTCAAAGTCTTTGGTCACTATGCATAAATCGTCTAAATATCCAAACACACAGTGACGGAGATCTGTAGGAATTAGATCGTCCATAAGTCGACACATAGTTGATGGAGCGTTACATAAGCCGAATGGCATTACAACAAATTGAAAGAGAGCTCGACCTGGCGCTGTGAAAGCCGTGAGTGGTTTTGCTTCATCCGTTAACTGAATCTGCCAATGGGCATCCTTTAGATCCAATTTACTGATAATATTGGCCTTTGGTAAGCGAGAGAAGATCCCATCAATGCTTTGTAAGGGATACGCATCTTT